CCTCCAGCTCCACACCGTGTTACCTCCGACTAACCCTATCACGTGAGCCGGGTTTCCTGCGGACGCGTCGACGTGTGACGTCGGCATGCAGTTGCTAGGAGGGAGGAGACAATTCAAGGATACCTAGGACGAGAGTCTGTCAGGGAACATGGCGAGGGAGGCACTGCTGAGGGTAAGACGAGTCGTTGAACAAAATCTGTAGCTCTTATTTTTTGAATGGAGTTTGGTTGTCAGGGAGATTTAAGGGGCATAAAAGCTCCAGCGCTTCCTACGTTGTTTACGCATGGCAGCAGCTCAGTGCAGGCTGGGATCTGGCGGTACTAAGTCACGATGTGGGCAGTGGTAGGGGCACGATGTAGTGGAAGTACCCTGCTCAGGCAGCCCTCTGACTGTAACTGGGAAGTTGGAAAGGCTGCTTTCTCCTGTTTTGAAATGTACTTTGACATTTTGTTGTGTTTTTTTTTTTGTTTCTACAATAATTCATATGATTGAAATATTTGGGCCGTGAGTTTTCTGTGTCATTGTTTGCACTGTGGCTCAGCTTTCCTGTTAGGTGACAATGAGCATGATTTTCACTCCCGTGACTCGGTGCAAAAAAGATCAGCTAAGTCCTGTGAAGTGCACAATTATATTCCTAAATGTTATCCTGCATCTTCTCCAACTGGCCACCTGCAATGTGTGTTCCAGCCAAGTGAGTGGCTCAGAAGAGAGAGAATTACCACGCCTGAGCTTTCTGTCATAAACAAAAACAGAAATTGCCGGGAAAACTCCGCAGATCTAGCAGTATCTGTGGAGAGAAAGTAGAGTTAATGTTTCGGGTCCAATGAGAGTTCTGAAGGGTCACTGGACCTGAAGTGTTAACTCTGCTTTCTCTCCACAGATATTGCCAGATCTGCTGAGTTTTTCCAGCAACGTCTGTTTTTGTTTCTGATTTCTAATTCTTTAATAAAAACCGAAAGAACTGCGAATGCTGTAAATCAGAAACACAGCCAGAAGTTGCTGGAAAAGTTCAGCAGGTCTGGCAGCATCTGTGAAGAGAAAGCAGTGTTAACGTTTCAGGTCTGGTGATCCTTCCTCAGATCTGCAGGGTTTTTTCTCTTTTTTTTGAGCTTTTTCTAGTTTACATTTTCATGCATGTTTCAGGTGGAAGTCTTGTAGTAGTCACCTGCTTGTCCATGGTGGATAGAGAGCAAGTACCAACTGTGTATTCTATCCACCTTGTCCGTGCCCCTCAATTTTATGCACCTCAGACTTTGCAGGCAGTAATGTATTTGGAAGTCTCCTCTGAGTTAAACGGTTGTAAATTGACACCCCATTTTAGAGAAAAATGTGCATAAAGCAATGCAACACTTAAGTGTTGGACTTAGGAACCACTATATTATTGCATAAGACATGACAGCATAAGTGGGCCGTTTCGCCCATTGAGTCTGTATTGCCACTCGGTATGATCATGATTAGTTTGATTATCCTCAACTCAACTTTCTTGTATTTTTCCCATAACCCTTGATTCCTTTACTGATTAAAAATCTATCTCCGACTCCAATATACTTAATGACACAATCTTGACAGCTCTCTGTGGTAAAGAATTCCACAGATTCTCTATTTTCTAAGAGAATAAATTCGTCCTTGTTTCTGTGCGAACTGTGTGACTTCCTACTCTGAGATAATGCCCTCTAGTCTGAGACTGTCCCACAAAAGAAACCAAACTGTCCTGTCAAGCCCCCTAAGACTCTTAAATGGTTTGATAGTGTCTCCGGTCATTTTTCTAAATGCCAATGAGTACAAATCAAACCTACTCAACCTCTCCTCATAATTAAATCCTTCACAGTAATCCAGTTGTAGCAGTGAGTACTATCCACAAGATGCACTGAGGAAATTCACCAAAGATCTTTAGGCAGCTGATGATCACATCCTTCTAGATGGAAAAGGGCAGTAGATACATGGGATCTCCAGTACCACTTGCAAGTTTCCCTCCAAGATGATTGTCATTCTGACTTTGACCCTAAAGGAATGGTGATATATTTCATCAGGTCAAAATCCTGGCATTCCCTCCTTAATCGCATTGTGGGTAAACCCACAGCAGTGGTTAGCACTGCTGCCTCACAGCGCCAGGGACCCAGGTTCAATTCCACCCTCGGGCGACTGTCTGCGTGGAGTTTGCACATTCTCCCCGTGTCTGCGTGGGTTTCCTCCAGGTACTCCGGTTTCCTCCCACAGTCCAACGCTGTGCAGGTTAGGTGGATTGGTCGTGCTAAATTGCCCGTAGTGTTCAGGGGTCTGTAGATTAGGTGGGTTATAGGGGGATGGGTCTGGGTGGGATGCTCCAAGGGTCAGTGTGGACTTGTTGGGCCGAAGGGCCTGTTTCCACACTGTAGGGATTCTGTGTGGACTACAGTGGTTCAAGGGCAACTAGGGAAGGGCAGTGCATACTGGCCGGCTGTGATGCCACTCCACAAATGTCTTAAAACAAAAGACCATAAGAGTTAAGTGAGCATTATTCAACCTCAAGTCTATATTGCCTAGTAGTTGGTACTGCCCAAGTCATGCTATGTGTCCAGCATCTCATTGGCTTCGTATTTTCTGATGGCAATTAGGGAGGTAAATGTCATGGAGATGGTAAGGACTGCAGATGCTGGAAGCTAGAGTCGATAAATGTGGAGCTGGAAAAGCACCGCTGGTCAGACAGCATCCAAGGAGCAGGACAGTCAACATTTCAGTCCGAAACCTACGCAAATGTCATGTTGGCTTGTATTGCAGAAGGCTTGGAATACAGGAATAAAGAAGTCTTGCTGAAAATGTACAGTGTTTTGGTGAAGCCAAATCTGAATTACTGTTTGTATTTTTGGTCTACAAATTTAAAAGTACAGCAAATGTTTTATTAACCTGCACCTATGGGACCAACAGTAGATCAAGAGGTCCACATAATCAATGTAAAAACACACACTAAGTATTAGAAATGTAATGCAGAGGCTATACACATCACTTAAACATTATTTACAGCATAAATCTCTTAATAATGCAATTTGCTTTAACTTACCAGCAGAGTCTTCTCACTCACTCCCTTGACTGACTAGTTGGACATAACAGCGATCATGATAATACAGTAAATCTCTGGTATTTGAGAGAGATTTTTGCCACTTTATAAAAAGTGCCGGTTCATAAGGTGCTGGTTAAAACAAAGTTTACTGTATATACTTGGAGACAAGACTGCAAAAGTTCCCTGAATTGGCTGTATGATGAGAGTCTGAGTAAATTGGGCTTATAATGTCTGAAGTTTAGAAGAATGAGAGGTAGTCTCATTGTGATGAACGTAATTCTGAAGGCGCTTGAAAGGGTAGATGCTGAGGGATTGTTCCGTTGGTCGGGGAATCTAAAACATGAGTGTACGGTTTTAGGATGAGGGGCCAATTGTTTAAAACTGAGATGAGACATTATTTCACTCGGTAGGATGTGTGAATATTTGAAATTCTCTACTCTGGAGGGTTGTAGATGCTATGTTGTTGAATATATTCAAGGCTGACGAAGACCAGTTTTTTTTTTTATTATTCATTCATGGGATGAGGGTGTCACTGGCTAGGCCAGCAATTATTGCCAATCCCTAATTGCCCAGAAGACAGATGGGAGTCAACCACATTGTTGTGGGCCTAGAGTCACATGTAGGCCAGATCAAGTAAGGATGGCAGTTTCCTTCCCTAAAGGACATTAGTGAATCAGATGGATTTTTTTTGACAATTGGCAATGGATTCCTGGTCATCGATCTCAGATTGTTAAAAATATTGAATTCAAATTCCACTATCTGCCACGACAGGATTCGAACCCAGGTCCCCACAACATTACCTGGGTCTCTGGATTAATAAAAACCGAAAGAACTGTGGATGCTATAAATTGCGAACAAAAACAGAAGTTGCTGGAAAAGCTCAGCAGGTCTGGCAGCATCTGTGAAGAAAAAGCAGAGTTAACGTTTCGGGTCCGCTGACCCTTCCTCATAGCCTTTCCAGCAACTTCTGTTTTTGCTTTTGGATTAGTAGTCTAGCAATAGTACCACGTGGCCATCGCCTCCCCTAAACCTGGATTAACACTGGAGTCGGACTTTATTTTTGCACACTCAGGGAATCGAGGCTTAAACTCCCATATCCCAAGATCAGCTATGATCATGTTAAAAGACAACAGGTTTGACACTAAGCACAATACAGGATTAAGTATGCAAATGTGGGTACTTGTCGTAGTGTCTTAGTTACACAGCATGGAAACAGACCCTTTGGTCAAATTCGTCTACACCCACCAGACATCCCAATCTGATCGAGTCCTATTTGCCAACATTTGGCCCATATTCCTCTGAGACCAGCCTCTACCACTTCCTCTGGCAGCTTGATCCATACACGCAACACCCTGTGTGTGAAAAGGTCAACCCTCAGGTCCCTTTCAAATCTTTACCTTCTGACCTTAAACCTATGCCCTCTAGCTTTGGACTCCCCTACCTTGGGAAAAAGACCTTGGCTATTCACCTTATCC